ACGGCAATTCGAGCTATTCTGCATAACGCGACGATACGTTTGATCCGATGATTGACGCTCATAAAAATACATGTTATATGTTCATGAAACCCAGGATCAAAGGAACTGCGATATGCGAATTGTTTGAAAAATCGACTGTCAGTATAATCGCGCGGACGAGCTCGTAAGCACGCATGGAAATTGCACATGCTGAAGTCTTTGAAGTACCTATAGCTGGGCTGATTTACCGGTTGGCTATCACGTCGTTTTATTCTCGAGTGAGGCAAATAGCGAAAAATTGCGACGGCGAAAGCGCACGAGCAGATGCGTAAAACGCATCGAGTTAGATAGCGAATATCGCTTTATCCTTACACGTTAACAAATCCATCGTGAGATACGCGTCGAGCACGATGAGTGTAATAATAATGGATTTATCAGTTGCGATCATTTTTATATTTGGCGTACAACAATCAGATCCAGATATGACAGAAATAATACAATTGTTTTCACCGTTTTGGAGATATTCGATTATAGAGTATTCGATTCATCATAGAGTATTCATTACTGCTAGTTTTTTTTTTATCATGTTCTCATAATTTTTTTGTGAAAAGACAAACCTTTTCTAATAGACTCGCTTTGCAAAAATATTTTTTTTTTTTTTGCATGGTGCTTTTGTATCGGCGCTTGATTAAATACTCATAATCAAGTAGAGCGTACAATTCTCGGGAATTTACATAATCATTTTTGGAAGCTACACAAGTCGATTCACGTCGCAAAAATTTATACGAACCCGGTGAGCCAACGGCGAAATAATGTGAGGAAACTTTTCCCGGCGAAAAAGAAAGAGATCGAGAGCGGGAGAAAGAAAGAGAGAAATTCTTATAGATACGCAATGCCGAAGTCTTCATTGAATAGTAGACGATGCAAACAACTTTGGCGAACGATAAAAATATGCCGAATAAATTTTGCGTTTGTAATTCTTATTGCGCGTTCGGCGAGAAACTGGTTCTAACCTATTATAGATTCACGACGCAATCAAGGATGGACAAACAAGGAGAGTGCCTTGCACCCTGTTTGTAGTCTTACTCGGTACAATGGAGGAGCAATTGTCGGCTTATCCAACAATGAAAGCTTCAATATTGCGCTTTTGAAGGGTCTATTGATTATTTATAGACGATAGAAGGTCGATCATTAATCATTACGTTATGATTAAGTAATCATCCGATTTTCTCTTGTCGTTTTGTAAAAGAAAATTCTTCAAATTTTTTTATTCTCTATCAGTCAGTTAAATATTGATGAAGGTTTCGCCATTTTTTTATCGATGCGCGCGCTTAACTGGATTCTGTCAACGTCGATTTAAAATATTTAACGTCAAAAAGATATCAAGACATATAAAATATAGTCACGAGCGATCAATTATGAGAATCGGTATCGTTATTCTACCGTACTGCATGAAATTCTCGAGGATCGTTTGATATCTTTCAAAGGATATCTCGAAAGAGAAATAGAAATAGATGATCGTTCTTGAGCGTACAATGGTTGGAGCGAGACTGTTTTGTTCCGTTTGAATAAATCGTCTGGTGTTCATCTAAAACTGGGCTGCAACATTTTTCCCGAAATCCTTCGGTAAATATAAGATCTCAGTGAATAATAAATTTCGTTTCCGAACTGTGTTTGTCTACGAACCTATAATTCATGCGTCGCCGATCGCGTCATTGTGCGGTTTCGTTTCGTAACACAAAGAGAAGTGAATATGTTATACATATTCACGAGATCAAAAGGCGTATCAACGAGCAACGTTCGTAAGATAGACAGATTCATATCTATTTTGTTCAAAAATATTAGGTGTTGGAATTAATTCGTAGCGTTTTACAAGTGATGGGAAGTACTTTCATTAATGTATTTTTTAATGCTCATGTGAAATAAATAACATTCTTTCATTAAAAAACGCTACGAATTAATTCCAACACCTAATATTTTATCTAAAAACTTAATTACTGCATTTATCGTAATAATTAAATTAGCTACAGCAAGAAAACATGTAACAAATTTTATTATATTGTTCTATTATATTAACATAGTATTATAGTTTTCACATAAGTTCTGTTTCTCGTATATATGTTCCTGAAAGTTTAGCCGAAACTAGAGAGAGAGGGGGGGGGAGGGAGGGAAGGGAAGTAGCGTACAAAAATTCTATCCTATCCTTCAAAATTTTATTTTTTCCTCTTGACATGGAACAGAAAGAAGCATAAGAAAGCGAAGGAATTTTGCCTTCTATGCATTTGAACCAATTGCGATTGCAACGCATTCTGAATTACAAGAGCAAATACGAACTCGAACGCGCATTCCTCGTTATCTTTGTGCCATTATCTGATACGATCGCAATACATCGCGTCGCGACGCCGCGAGGGATGGATCCAAAACGGATGACGCTCATCGTCAGTCGGCTATTCGTTTTTGTGCACTTTTACTTCCGGAAAAAGTCACCCCACGGCTGACATTGCTGGCCTGGTACGATAAATTACCGCGGAGACAACGAGCGCGAGCATTCTCCGTGAATTTTCCTTATCACAACGCACGTGACCGAGTTTGCTCGTAACATCAGTATGTCTTAAAAATCCGGTCTTCTAAAAGAAAGAGAGAGAACCGTTACGAAAATTCGCAACACCCGCAATACTTCTCGTCTAGAAACTTCGCTTAGTATCAGAAAGTATTGATGCTTTTCCACCGACAACTGGATTTTTAACAGCGATATTTTAGCTTCGCTAGTTGCTGAGTGTCGGTATCATTATTAATCTAATAAAATCGACTATCCATTAATAACAACCAATAAAATGTTTATTTATATCGTCAAATTGTGTGTCACTTACCGTTACATTAAGAGCAATTAAATGGTACTCTGTCAACATGATAAAAATAATAGCCTCTATTTTTGGCCCATCAATCTTTTTATGTTTTAAAAACATTTTTGACAAATTTATTGGCGCGTTACATGAAATGTTATGGCGATTGAAAATTTTTGGTACATTGTAACTGTAATTTCAGTATAACAAATATTTTCTGAATCGAAATTGAAACGAGATAGATTAAAGAAAATAAAATATGAAAGCAGAAATGCTTAATATTTTCTCTATTTCTTCATCAAAATTGTATGCGTTCGAAGTTTATTTTATCGCTCATATATAGTATATAAATATAGTATATACTGCATATATGCACACATTCAGCTATAGAAATAATCGATTGGTTGTAACATTGGTTATTCTCTATAATTCGCTGATACGATGTGCAAATCCACTTAGCCTTCCGGCTATTTCGTTTGTGTCAAATTTTTGCGTCAAACACTTTCGCGATATATCAACCATTTTTTTCTTTTTTTATCAGTAATTTAATATCTCACAATTTAATCCTAGCTACCACGATGTAATATATCGCGTAGATATTTTTAACGCATAACCGCACCACGTACGGTCAATTACCGATCGTGTTGCCGGTTGAATTTATCAGGATCGTTTATTAGAAGAAATTACGCGGTTGCATTACGGTAAATAAATTAAAACGCTTCTATCTACGGGTGAAAGTGCAACACACGAAATTATCTTATCTGGATCAACCAGGCCCTATGTGAATAATAGATAATTATTATCAGCCGTGATTTTCGGTGAGCAAATTTTCCGCAATTTTTCACGTTTTTTTGAACGAGACTGCGCTCTATGATTTATTCAAGAAAACGAGCTATTGTTGTGGCACGAAAGCGCTTTATTTAAATAGCGAGATCGATGTTGCGGATCAGAGACAAGCATCACGTGTCGCTTTCCGTAATGTTTTTAACGATTTTTCCAACGCCGTTTGCGGCATTTATTCTCGCGGCATAAATAACGGATATAATAGCTGGCAATAACGCCGGTCGAGCGGCACGCTAAAGGATAATTTACGATAAAAATGCGATCGCCGATATCACCGTGAATATCGATTTTATAATGCAAAATGAGCCGAGCTGCGGATGAATAGAATCCTTCGATAGTGTATAGTAGAACACGGGCAAATGAAAAAGACTGCTTATTAAGAATTTATCCTGAATGCTTTTTAGCTGCCTCTCAATATAAGTATCTAATAATGAATATTGAAAAGATTCGCGAGAGATTTTTAGTCGTCAAATCGCCAACGAATCTCTATCAGGAAAAAAATGAGTCGTATTTAATCTATTAAACAATCTATTAAATGAAAAGATCCATAATAAAATAATACAGAGGAAAAAAATTGGGTCTCTTTGGAATCGTGGAAATGGAATAATCTCGATATCTTTAAAGTTCGCAAAGTAAGCAATTTGGTTTTATTATCATTCCCTGCTATACTCAAGAAAATCCAAATGAAATATAAAAGAAAAATGCAAATATTTTATTTTAAGTTGCCGTTCGATTGGCATTGTAGTTCCATTTTTCGCGAAGCGTCATTCCTGAAAGATTCCAGCAATCATTACGCTCTATGCAAAAAAAAAAAGTTACGAACGCGCAAACAACACGCTTGATTTAATTGCATAGGTTAGCCACCTCGATCGCGATATTTTTGCCCGGTCAGCAATTACGGCGACCGCGGTGAGGAAAAATTACGGACAAGAATGGGGAAACGACGGCCATGGCGGAAATGAGGCGGAGGTGGAGAAGCGCTTTTCCGCGATATCTGTGCACCACGTCGGAGGTGCCCCACGCACCTCCCGTACTGTACCATTCTAAATTATTGCTGGCGATTTGTTTGCCTTCCGGACTCGCCCGCGAGAGAATCCCGTGCGGATTAATCGATCGAAGTGTCGCGGATCAACGATTAATTATAGACGATAAACCGAAGAGATGTAGAGGGTCGTTTGAAAATTTGGGTCGTATCCCGAGAGCAAGCCGATTAGTGAAAAAGCGCATTTGGCGCGATCGATTCAGTTTATTTGAAATATATAGAGTCCCGACGCGAGCAAGCTCTCAGTCTGGCGATGACGTGGCAGAAGAATACATCGATTGATTTGTTCGCAGGCCTGCGACTGCCTGGGAGTCAGCAAGGAGTGCGATTACTTCGGGCTGAAGTATCAGAATGCGAAGGGCGAGGAACTCTGGTTGAATCTGAGGAACCCCATAGAGCGGCAGACCGGCGGTGGTGTAGCGCCTCTAAGATTCGCTCTGAGGGTTAAGTTTTGGGTACCGCCTCACCTGTTGCTGCAGGAAGCCACCAGGTAAGGAAAGTTAATCGACACGAACCGTACTATTGTTTGTTCGAATATTTGTCGCGATCGAGACGTTTTAAATTCTTTAAGAAACAATTCGTAAATATATCTTTAGCGACTTAAATAAACGTAAACAGTTATAATTGGACTGTACAAAACGTTTGAAATATTAATTTGCCTGGTACGTAAACATCGTTAAAAATTTCTCCTTGAACTCAGATTCGTTCAACACTAAAATCGCTCATGTTACTATTTTGGCATTGTTTCAGCCGGATATCATTGGCAATTCTAATGTTAATTAAAACAGCTTTTATCTTCCATATATACCTTCACATGATTGTTTAACGACGCAGTAATTTAGTAAAGCTTCTATTTTGCGTTTATAGCTTCGTCTACGAACGAAGATTTGAAGGGGATCTACATGTAATCTCGTAAACTCCCCGAAGAGCTCGCAATGTTCGTCGTTTCTTGGCAGTCGGGAGATTTAAGTGGACGAATAGTTTACACGCTCGACAGACAAGTGATCCTTCGATTGATTGGTCGCTGTCGATGTGATTTCAAGCAGAAGCTTATTTCGGGGATTACCGTGCGACATTGTCTAGAGTTAAATTAGACGTCGATGATGGCTAATGGGATCATGATAATCTTACAATAAGACTCCTCTAAAACACTCTTAATCCTAGAAGAGCTTTTAATCCAAGCGTCCCATCATCTTTCTTTTTCTGAAATAAATTTCCAGTATCGGTAACTGGAAGTAGTTAGACCAATCCCTCTTTGCTACCGTCGCCGCTTTAATTGCAGGACATTTGCATTGTCTTCGATATCACCAGAGCCGAACCCCTTTGTGCCTCTTATCGATCCTCGAACGTTTAATACGGGAAACTAGTTTTAAAATTCAGTTCAAGTTTCACTTTGTAATGTCTATTGCACGATCGCGAATTCCGTTAATGCAATATTTTCGCAATACGAATTCACAATATAGGTACGATATTGCTTTCTGTGTACGTAGCTTGTAATAATATATGTAATAAATCCCACGAGGGTATACAACCCCCCGTTCGGTTGTATTTTTTAAATCAACATCCGACATCCGACATCGTAAACTGCGGAATGAGAAACTGCCTCCGGGAAATATACGTCGCGAATGTTCGGCTGGGAAGCAGAAACTCGTTTTGTTTGAAGTTCTGATTGGCTCGTTATCGCGGCGCGACGCCGCCGTATTCAAAGCGTGACTCGCCGCGAACTCTCCGCTTGCGAATTGCGTCCGCTGTAATCCGATGCGCGAATGCACTCGTGCGAACGCAACGGCGAGAGGACGAGTACGGAGTACGGAAGCTTTCGTCCGAATTGAAAATTGTTTCCGCCGTAAAAAAAGCTCTCCCTCTTTTTCGGAGGAAGAGGAAAAGAATAATGATGAAAGAACGGAAGAGAGGGAGGGAGAAAAACAGAGTGGCAAGAGATGGAAAACAGATACGAAGAGAAACAGATACGATCCTCCAGCGAGCACGTACGAAATTGCATGCTGGCGTCGCCGTGAAAGTACTGATTGCATATCCGGCGATATCGTCTTGTCGAATATGTGTTTTCGTAGAGGAGTATCGAGATCGACGGGGCGCTTCTCCGCATGAGACACACGGTAAATAATGTTATGCACGGCGCCGTGCGATTTATTTTGCATTATTCGCGGCATTTCTATCGGCGCCACCCCGATACGTGACATTTTCGCGACTGTGCCTCAATACAATTGCTGCGTCACGAAATTGAATTGCTTCGGTGGAGAACAGAGAATATTTGGGGAGCTTTCGCGGAGTTTTCTCATCGTAGATTTCCATCGAACGGATCACGTTCGAGAGTGAAAAATTTAATGAAAAAATAGTTTGTGAATAGGTAGACTTTGATTGCAATTCCCGTGAATCCTCTAGACTCATTTATTTATATTGGAGTGGGATGCTCTTTATTTGGTGATACAAGTCAATACAAATGACCTTTTATCTTTGTTCTCATTGAACATCAAGAAAGGAAAACATTCATAGAATGGTATTTGTCGACTTGTGTCATTGAAATGAGAGTATTCCTGAATAATTAGTCAGAGAAGCGGACCGGTGGTACGTATTCTGATTGGCCATCGCAAATGACCAATCATGAAACTGATTGATCGATGTTATACATGACTGCTAAATGGACAATTCTACATTGACTCTGCTGAAGCTGTTAGGGACTTTGCGCAATCAAAGGGATAGAGAATACGAACAGGGAATAACAGATTTCAAACATTCAAGTAGAACCAACTATGAATGTCGATCTAAGACTCTAATTTATGTGTGTATTCGAGAAGCAGTTGTATAGGTATTCAAATTTCGCGTCGGTAGATTCTTCCCTTTGACGATTGAGCTTCGGAAAGTGGCGACGAAAGTGGCTCTTTATCATTTCTAACTTCTCAGAATTTGTTGCGGTTTTTAAGGCAAAAAATTCTCGACAATCCGGCAACGATCGCTCGCTCTTATGTCGAAAGTTTTTAGCGAATCGACACAAGATTAAATGTAGTCTGGGTTGGTATTCGTAATTAGTAGCGGTTTGCAGATTTCAACGGATCGAAACGTAATTTCAATTTAATCATGGTCGCTTGAATTACCCCGTGTGAAGCTAAATGCGTGAAGAGTAATGCATCCGGCATGCGAATTAATTCGTCACTGGTAACGCGACGCTGCTGTTGTAATTACGTCAGCTGGCGCGACGTAACTCCCTCGTCCAATATGTAATTCGTTAAATTTACAACGAATCCTTCTTCCTCTACGTGCAATGTAAAAAAAAAAGTGATGGTTATGTCTGAACAACCACATATTGCGAAATATTTTTACTAGAAATAATGTCCTTCAAACTTCCAGAAAGTGAATTGTCATATTTAAATCAGTCTGCGTATTTATAGCGCACTGATTAATATTGAAAAATATTCTATTTTAATGTTTTAAATTGATGACATTTAATTTCTGCAACGTTCGAGCATTAATAATTACACGATATTACGAATTTCGACCAATTAGAATAAATCTATAGGATTTTTTTTTTATTTAATTAAATTAATAATTATTGCATATTTACTTTTATTCCAAAAAACAAAATGAATAATAGACAAAATATAAAAGCGAAATTTTATTTAATTAAGAAATCACGCTTTTACACAAGTACGAGTGAGTGAAATTTTACGCCTAACCTGATTACGCCTCGTCGAAAAAGCCGATTTCACAAGCTCCTCTTGAAGCCTCTTAATCCGTAACGCTTCAACGTCTCTTTCCGACGTGTGTCCTTTGATGTTACCGTGTCGTCGACCGAATTAAATCCGAAATCTACCGAGGGATTCACTTCTCGCGAATTAACATTGCGCTTTCAAATGCGATTGGCGGGGGAACTTTCTGGTATTGCATCAGCACGAGATCACTCACAAAAGATAGGTTATTTTATTACAACTCGAGTACGTTATCTCTATTTTGTGAGTTTTTAGTTGAGGCGAATCACAATTAATCTTTCGCAGATCCTTCAGTATAAGCAGACGTATAAGCGAATTAATCTCTAACAAAATTACGACATTACTACGTCGCGCTTATTTTCCATTTCAGCCGGACTATCTCGTATAATCGTGTGTATGCACGGCGGTAAAATCCGTGGAATACGGCATGAACTCGAGCAAAAAGGTTTGTCTCGGGGCTGCCACATAAGATACTGCAAAATTAATTCCGACGTGTGGGTCAGATTTAATTGCGTTACACCGTGCCATTCATGCGGGTCTTTCCATGAAAGGGACTGCAGAATATCATCAAAGTTTTGCTAGACCGACACGTTGACATTAGACGCACTTGTACAAGTGCCAACATTAATGGTGACCAGCTAAGCAACGTCGAGTTGTAACTATTTATTTTTACATCGTGAATGCATATTCTATTATTTTTTTATCTCACAGTATTATTGCATCGACGAGAAACTGGCGATTGACGTGTTAATCATTTACGAGTTGCCGAAATTAACTTGTTTCCGTTTATTTGATTGATATATTTCGTTTATTTTGACGTTCACGTTAAGCTCGTTATTTTTATAACGGCGATATTTTCATCTACCATTGTCATTTTCCAAAATGCGCAGAAAATTTCGTAAAAATACAAAAACGTTGCGAAACGAAAATGATTTTTTTTTACTTATAGTACTTCATCATTATATTTTATCACAGAATATAAATCACGTGGTATCACGTTAATTATTTGACGCTATCGACTTTGTGTGCTTGTGATTTATCGATTTGCATTTTTATCCGCTAACAAAAACACGATTCTCCGATCGGAAATTCGGACCTCTGTCCGACGCTTCATACACGGCGCTCGCGTTTGATTTATCGGCGATCTACATTTCGTTTGCAACGACGTCACGACTTTCCCGTCACATTTTGCCCGTAAATTTTAGGAAGATATACGGGCGCGAAGTGACACGTCTCGCCATTATCGCATCGCCGCGTGATCGATGATTAAAAATACAGCGCGTTGGAAATTGCTATATCCATATTTTACGACTGACGTTACAGCGAAAATTAACGGACTGCGCAATTAATTTCGTAATAATGATTCGCTGCGAAATTTCAATGAACGCTGCCTGTTCGTCTGTTGGGTTTACACCGTCGAGTTTATGCCACGAATAGATTGAGGAGCGAAACTCCATCGCTCCGTTCTTATTAATTCGCATTGCACTTCTGCATTAGCGAAATGTCGCCGGCAGGATCGTCTATCATACGTCGTAACAGTGAGAGAGAGAGAGAGAGAGAGATCGCTGCAGCCCATTTCTTCCGACCGCGAAGTCGCGACGTTGATAAAGACAAAGTGTTTCCGTATCCGAGGCAGTCGGAACTCATAGTTAATCCGCAGAATTACAACTTCTCTATAAGAATACTATAACGCGCAAGTCATTCGTCATTTCGTTCGCATCACAAAGATCTCGAGGATTTGCGTTTGAGGAGAAAGCTCTCGAAG